ACAGAAATATTGTAAAATTAATGAATGTTAGAATGATGTTGGATAGAAATTAAGTGGTTTCCAGCTGTAATGCTTTAAGAGAATATGAAAAAAGGGTTATAAATAGGTAAAAATCTAATGGTAAGGATTTGCTGAACCAACAATTTGAAGTGGAATACAAAAAAGGGAGGTATGAGGAGGTCCGGGAAACAAGCTAAAGGAAAATAAGCAATGGAAAATCTGTGTGTTTTTAACTATTTTTATTTTGTATTTCTGTTATTTTTCATTTTTATTGTAATACTTTAAAATATCTTAATAAATATCTTATTAAAAAAAAATCTCCCATAAAACCTGAGAGGCTGTATTGTAACAGTAACTTAGAGGCGTTCTTTGGGCATCACCAAAACAGACAAAGCTCCCTATGAAAGAAACTGTTCATTTTATATTAAAAGCGCAACTGAGTTCAGAACCTCCAGGCATCTTAAGAACAGAAGCACCATCACCACCACCATCTCAAAGGCACGTTTTTCCACACTGCTCCTGGAGGCATCTTCTCCAAAAATGATCTCCCTACTCAGCCCAATTTTTGAATTATGGTGCTGGAGGAGACTCTTGAGAGTCCCATGGACTACAAGAAGATCAAATCTATCCATTCTTAAGGAAATCAGCTCTGAGTGCTCACTGGAAGGACAGATCCTGAAGCTGAGACTCCAATACTTTGACCACCTCATGAGAAGAGAAGACTCCCTGGAAAAGACCCTGATGTAGGGAAAGATGGAGGGCACAAGGAGAAGGGGATGACAGAGGACGAGATGGTTGGACAGTGTTCTCGAAGCTACCAGCATGAGTTTGACTAAACTGCGGGAGGCAGTGGAAGACAGGAGTGCCTGGCGTGCTCTGGTCCACGGGGTCACAAAGAGTCGGACACGACTAAACGACTAAACAACAACACTCAGCCCAATGCTGTTTCCATGCTCTTTATCATAGACTTGCCCTAAGCCACCCTACAGGTTTCATGGGTGAACCAGGGCTTTGCAGCCACATCTTCTCTGTCCACATCCTCTTTCAAGAGTTCTTCAACTTATACAGAATGAAAACTCTTAAGAATTCTCATTTATTACAGCTAGGGAGGGTATCTCACCCGTAGTCCTCTGGATTTTGCTGGACGTCAGCTCCCAGCGGTCCTTTCCATCAACAATACCAGCTGAGGCTGATGGGAGTTGGACGCCACCAATGACTGGAGGGTCAGCCACCTTCCATAACCACCATTTCTAGAGAAAATGCTTTGATTGAAAAATGAACAAAACTACTGAGGATTTTCCACTTTGCAGCCTTTCTGTTCACTCCAAATGTATCGTGCCTCTGTCATATTAAATTCTACAGAGTGCAATTATCGGTCTGTGAGCTGTCTCTCTTCCACTGAGAATGGACCCAGTTGATATTAGTTGGGTACAATCAGTTCATGACTGTCTGAGCAGAGATGAAGGGTAATGCCAGTGGATAGGAGATTCGTCAACATCAGGGGATGAATTGCCTCTGTGTGTGTGTGTGTGTGTGTGTGTGTGTGTGTGTGTGTGTGTGAAAGAGAGACCACAGATCTAACACCCCAGATAAAACTCATATATCACTTCACATCACTTCTCACAATGTGAGCCTAGTTTCCTTTTCTAGCTGCCAATCATCAAATGCACTGTAATCTACCAGAGAGACTGAGTGATGCATGCATGTTAAACCAGCACGCAAGTCATCATGAGAGGCTGAGAGAGAATTCTGTATGTAGACAGAATCCATAATAACTTCTGAGTCCAGAGGAAATAAAATGTTCTAGTTTGAAATCTGGGTAAATATCTAGTACAGACATCAAGCTGAAAAGGAGCTGCAATATCTGTATGTTGGGCTGAATGGAGAATGTGCACAAATTATTATTATTATGTATTGAATTTATATACTGCCCTATACCTGGTGGTCTCAGGGCAGTTCACAGAATAAAATCAAAATATAAAACAACAAAATACATAATTAAAATAAAAGCAACAACCCAATAATGCTCCCCCAATACCAGCTATTGTGTACGTTATGGGGAACATGCACAAATGAACATCTTAAGCAGGATTTTTCATACTGAATGGTCAATGTGCTTAATCTCCAAGTGATACTGGAGAATGTGAGAATTTCACACACTGGTAAATGTACATAGTATCTCTTCAAGGGAATATTTTTCAAGGGAACCATATGCTTAGTGACCTAGCGAAGGGTGAGATACTCTATTTATGCCACCAGATTGTGCACAGTTGACAGCATCATTTGGAGTCTATGCACATTGATCAGGCAGTACACAACCCCCCTGTTTATTCTCTTTATTTGGGAATGGGAAGAAACAGGATTTACTTGTCCTTGACCATATGTATGGACTGATGCATATTATATGTAAATGTGTATGTATATATATATGGACTTTAAGTGGCCATTATGCATGGACTGTTGTCTATCATATGAGGAAGCATGTCAGGGTTAAAAATAAATTCAGATTAAAAAAATGTTGGTGAAAAACATGAATGATAAGTCGAAAAATATGTTAGAAAAAATGTCTGGTTTGCAAATATGTAAAAAAGTTAGATATTTGAGAATCTGGCTGATAGTAAGAAATCTGAACTTATATGTTAAACTGTGGAAAGAGATCAAGAAAGAGTTGGAGATTTGGGAGAGAATGAAGGTCTCCCTGCTTGACAGAATCTCAGCTATTATAATGAATCTATTGCTCAGGATGCTGTTTTTATTCCAATCAAGTCCAGCTGAAAATAATTTAGGCTGCTTCAAAGAATGGAAGAAGGATATTTCTAAATTTATCTCACGGGGGGGGGGGGAGCCAAGAATCAAACATAAAATTATGATAGACATAAAAGAAAAAGGAGGCTTTGCCCTGTCAGACCTGCAAATGTATTATGAGGCAGCCTGTTTGTGTTGGTTAAAAGAATGGATTACATTGGATAATGCAGATACCCTGGACTTAGAAGGTCATGACTTAAAATTTGGCTGGCATGCATGTCTTTGGTATGGGAAGGTGAAAATTTATAAAAGTTTTATGAACTGTATTCTTAGGAAGAATCTGTATAGAGTTTGGGAGAAATATAAAAATCTTCTGGAAGGGAAGAAGGCTATTTCTATTAAGAGAGTTAATATGGATAGACAGTGGGCAACCTACAGGGAATTGTTGTACTTTACAGGGTGGAGTGGGGGGACTCAAACTGAGATCAATGGAAAATGTAAGGAGCCATGTTCCGGACTGGTTACAATACCATCATTTACATGAAATGTTTAAATTAGATGGGGGGGGAGAATGGTTTTCTGGATCAAAGCTCATAATTCAAAAAAGAACTTTTACAAAACAAAGAGAAACTTTTGTCTAAAATGTATAATTTGTTATTAGAGTGGGAAACAAAAGACAAGCTTGTTAAAGCCTCAATAACACACTGGGCAATAGAAATAGGTCACAATATAGATTTTAACCTCTGGGAAAAACTCTAGAAAAGTGACTTGAAGTTCACAGCATGTTATTCTTTGAAGGAGAACTACTTGAATATGATTTACAGATGGTATTTAACTCCAAGTAGGCTTACTAAGATGTATAAGACTGAATCAGTTAAGTGCTGGAGATGCAAAGAGGTAGAGGGAACGTTCTTTCATATGTGGTGGACTTGTAAAAGGGTATAAGAGATTTGTGTAGGGTTTACTCCTTAGCGTCTTCTTTCCCTGAAGATGTCCCACAAGATTTTTCCTCCAGGTTTACTCCCGAAGCCACAGTAACAACAGCATGAATTGGATTTAGAGTTGTGTGAGCAGATGTCCACTTTTGGAAAGGGGTGGTTTCTCCTTCCTTCCTGTACCCACTGAATATCCACTCTGGAGGACACGGAAGACATGCCAGAATAACTTGGGAGGGGCCAATGAGGATGCTTGAAGATTTTACTTGGTTCAGATTGTTAAGTAAACTGACCTGATTTGCACTTCCCTGACCAATGCTCAGCTTGGAAAGCAGCTCTCATTCAGTTTTCACCCTTCTCTGAATTTTTCAATTCAAATTCAATTCAAAAAATTTTCAATTTTTTTTTTTAGAACAGGGGTGGCCAACTCCCGAGAGACTGCGATCTACTTTCAGAATTAAAATCTGGCAACGATCTCCCCCAGTATTTTTGGGTTCAGGTCAAAGTTGTCAAGTTTTTATTAGGGAGGAGAAAAGTCCTGATTTTTTTTGGGGGGGGGGTTCAGGTCAGAGTTCTTGTGCTTTTTTATGGAGGAGGAAAGCCCCATTTTTATATAAATACTTTCTTAGGAAGAAAATTCCATTTTGGGGGGGGGGGGTTAAAGGCAAGGGTCAATGGGGAAAATAACGTTTTGAATGAAAACAGCCACAAAGAGAAAGCTCAGTCTTCCCTGATCAGACAACAATGGAGGGCAGGGCGAGGGGGCGGGGCAGGAGTCATTTTCAATGACACTGAGGAAAGGTAGCCAGAGATCAACCCGCGATCTACCAATACCTCACAGGGATCTACCAGGAGATCACAATTGACCTGTTGGACATCCCTGCTTTAGAAGACAGCAAAATGCATATAAAATGTGCATTTTAGGGTAAAAGGCACCAAAAATGCATAAAAAGTATACAGAAATGCTGAACAAAACATATGCAATGCATTTTTAAAATAAATAAATCACAGATTGATGTGGATGAGAGGTAGAACAGACTTAGGAATGAGCATGTGCAAAACTGTCATGCGTTGGGAATAAAGTTACCAGTTGATTGGCAAGAGGGTCCGTGTGGGGGAAATCAGCAACATTTACCTTATTCTGTCTCCTTCTGTTTTCAAAAGGCTTCTCTGAATCCAAGCTCCTTCTTTGTAATGGGACTCCTTTTAAAAAATAAAGTAACTGGATTCAGCTCCTCATGCACTGTACTCGCCCACAAAGGTTCTTCTTAGTGTCTCGGTTGCTCCTCACATTGCCTTTTCGTCGCTCTCTTTCCTTAGGGGCTACCAAAGACATGGGGAAGATGCTGGGTGGAGAAGAGGAGAAGGATCCAGATGCTGCCAAGAAGGAAGAAGAACGACAGGAAGCCCTTCGGCAGCAGGAAGAAGAGAGGAAAGCTAAATATGCCAAGATGGAGGCTGAAAGGGAAAATGTGAGGCAAGGGATTCGGGATAAGGTAAGACCCACTATCAGACTGATCAGAGTCCAGCTGGGACATAAGCAAACATTCAGAAACCAAAGCGCAGCTTCTGATTGGCTGCAGGGAGCTCAGTGAAATATTTCGCCAAGGCATTCCAATCACAGTGGCCGGATTGTAATTTTTTGGCCAACAATGGGATTCACATGGTTTCAGTTGCTTGGAGCGTCTCTCTCGCTAATTATTTGAATGTGGGGTTGTTTATGTGTGAAAGACACATTTTAAATTCATATGAGCATTTTGGCTAATGCATGTTTTGCATTCTCAATATAAACTGATTTTGGGGTGGAAATCACCAAAAGCCTTGTGTGGGAAGGCCCAAAATGATATTTCTCATTTCCTCCCTCCATCCTTTTCTGGATTCAAAGCTCTACTTAGGGCCTCTTTGATGGGTGTATGATTTATTTATCGTTGTTTGCTTTTGATATGGTTTTCTAGGGAGTGTCAGCTTTCTGAGTTGTACTTCTAATGTGTGGAAGGTCTTTGAAGAGGGAAGCTTTGTACCACATACGCATATCCAAATATATTGCAGGTATTAAAAATATTTTACCAGGCGTTCCAGAATTCCCAAGACTCCAGTTATCACCACATATCTCTAATTTCACTTTTAGTCCCGTTCACGCTAGCTATGTAGCATCTGGAGAGAAAATTGTTGTTGTTGTTTAGTCGTTTAGTCGTGTCCGACTCTTCGTGACCCCATGGACCAGAGCACGCCAGGCACCTCTGTCCTCCACTACCTCCTGCAGTTTGGTCAAACTCATGCTGGTAACCTCGAAAACACTATCCAACCATCTCGTCCTCTGTCGCCCCCTTCTCCTTGTGCCCTCCATCTTTCCCAGCATCAGTGTCTTCTCCAGGGAATCTTCTCTTCTCATGCGGTGGCCAAAGTACTGGAGCCTCAGCTTCACGATCTGTCCTTCCAGTGAGCACTCAGCGCTGATTTCCTTAAGAATGGATGCATTAAGAATGGAGAGAAAATTAAGTGCCAATAAATAGAATCACCAGAGGTGATCTACAGCAAACTGTAGATTGATGTAGGTTTACAAATTTTGTAATTCTGTGCTACATAAATGCATAATTCATTGTGTACAGCAAAGGGCTCCTGTTGACTGGAAGTTAAGATAGAGCTATTTTGTATGGACCCAGAACAGGGACTTCTCTGTAGTGAGCACACACACACTCACCCGATGTAGCACTCCCTCCTTCTGGATGAAAGGCACCTGCCCAATCTGAAGTTTTTGATGTTGCAATACATCAATAACTACTTCACTACCTGAATCACATGGGAGACTGGAGAGGAATCAGAACAAAATAGGTTTGGGGGCATTTTAGCAAAATTCCCTAGTTTCAGTGGGCTGGATTCAACTTAAAAGTTGTGCTTGAAGGAGGCTGTGCGATGAGTCCAACTTTTGCTCTGTCCTTCCCCTGCCCCACAAATCAGCTTTGAGAGGTTAGGAGAATTCCCAGAACAGCACACGTGTAGGGTAGGAGAGGGAACATCATTCTATCTGGCTGTATTTTACAAACATATTGCTGAAAGGGGGAGTGGGGAAGGTTGATATCGCTGGAAGCCCCCAAAAAACTGGCTCAAAAGAGAAAAAAACTTGTTATGTGAAAATTCAGGTTCGAAGATGTTATTTTCCTGCTGGGTAATGTAGAATATTCATTCCGCATCTGAGACTTCCTGCCCCACTGCCACAGCTGTCTGCAGGCAGAAGAATATTCTGGGCTTCTCTGAAGGTCAGGGGCCTCAAACGGAGATAATACTTTTCCCTCCCCATTAATCATGTTCTATAATTCTGAAGATAAAGTTTACATCCCAGGTGACTGCCGTGTCCTCTCCAGCAGACTTTAATGACATCTTCCCTTTTAATTATTGATAACTCCCCAACAATGTGAATTTCAACTAGCACCAAGGATTAATGGGTTTCATAAATAACATGTCTTAACTTTTACGACTATTAAACGCTATTGGTAATTTTAAATATAAAATAAAGAGGGTTTTTGTTTCATTTTGAAGAAGGGAGGCACGCAAAGTGCCCCCCAAAAAACTTATTTCAAATGCTTATATTGCTATTTCGGATCATTATGGATATTTAGCTGCATAAATAAATAAACAAACGGCAATGTTCTGTACTGTAATAAACACCTTTCATTTGCAATATTGGATATTGCCTGCATTTTAATCTAGTTACCATAAATTCATTTTAAAAGAATCAGAGGATAATTGCGGACCGTACCCCCCAGAGCAAAACAAATATCAAACAGCTCATATGCTTAGCAATTCTCTTTCTACAATGCCCTTTTCATTATTATTATTATATTTTTAGCACCATCTCAGAGCAAGTGTTAGGAATGCCTAATACACTTCGGTTCGGCACCTGGCTTGGGTCACCAATCCTAAAACAAGCTGCTTTGACCCCCAACCCCTTGGAGTGCAGTAACACCAGTATTAGCACCTGGAACAGCTGGGGGGGTGGAGAAGAGGGAGTGGAGAAGACTATCATTGCCAGTCTTCAATGTTTCCCTTTTACAAACAGCCCCTCTGGATGGTATACAAGCCACAGTGCTATGGTCCATTGGGGTGCAGTAAGATTAGAACCTGTCATGTGACTTATTTTTTTTATTTTTTTATTTTGGCCTGTTGTTTTTTATTTTGTTCTGTACAGTGGTACCTCAGGTTATATACGCTTCAGGTTACAGACTCTGCTAACCCAGAAATAGTACCTCGGGTTAAGAACTTTGCTTCAGGATGAGAAGAGAAATTGTGCACCTGCGGCGCAGCGGCAGCAGGAGGCCCCATTAGCTAAAGTGGTGCTTCAGGTTGAGAACAGTTTCATGTTAAGAGCAGACCTCGGGAACGAATTAAGTACTTAACCCGAGGTACCACTGTACTTGTTCTGTATTACATCTAGATGATTCTCTTGAAATATTGAATCATCCTCTTTGTTGTGTTGGCTTTATTATTATTTGAAACTGTTGGTAATCTGTGTAATAAACTGGGGGCCCACCTCCTTCGAATGTTATATATTTTGATAAAAAAATTAGTGTTCATGGTGCGGTACTTCACAAACAACAACTTCAACCAACCAACCAATAGTTCTTCTTTTTCTATCTTCCTTCTCTTTTTCATTTTTCTTTTGGATTGGGTTTCTTGTGTGATCTTTGATTTTTGGTGGTTAGTAGTATTAACTAAATGTGTATCTTTACATATATTGGTAATAAATGAAGATATGTACAGGGAGGTGGGAGAATTCAACTCTCTAAGATAAAACTGTGACTGAGGGCTACATAGATATATTTATAATTTTGTGTTTTATGAGGATCATATGAGGATTATTATTCATGTACCTTCCTTTCTTTTTCTCTTTAGTTTTTTCTGTTTGGTATATGGTTTTTCATTATTCTTTTTAGTTTAGTTTGAATCTTATTGTATATTAGGTTGAAAACATTTAATAAAATTGATTAAAAACAACACCAACCAACCAATAGTCTGTTTAACAGCTTCTGGCCTTCTTCTGCTCCAATGAGTTAAAATGGCCAGACTGTTATGTGTGGTAACAGTGTAATCATCATGCAAATGAACAGGATATATGAATAAACTCTTAATCAGGATTCACTATTCAGCCCTTCTGTGTTGTAGAAGCTTATTCAGATGGCCACTGCTGGGAGTGGGCAGCACGCCATACTGTTAAGATCTAAATGCACTTAAATAGAGGTACACATTATAATCCAAAGGCCTGGGAGACCAAAAAACCCTTCACCTGTTGCCTGAAAAGCCATACTGTGGGCACCAGCTGGGGAGAACATTCCAGCTTCAGGCATGCCTGGTGTGATGGCCTGGGACTCGGGCTCGGACTCGGAACCAGAGGAGTCTCAGTCCACACCGGATCCTCTGCCTCAGGTGTCATCTGAACCGAGTCCGGGGCTTGATTCTGAAGATCCCTAGTCTGTACAGGTTCCCCAGCAACAAACACCAGCTGGGCCAAGTCAGGGGCCGGAGCCTGCCCTGGCTCCAGATGCGGGGATTACCTCGTTGCCCTCTGCTGGGCAATCACATACAGCTGCTCAACTACCAGTTGGGTCAGGAGAGGCTGAGGTGGCCCCTGGGTCTAGTAACCCACCGACATCTCCCGAGCTGCAGAGACTCAGGTCTGAGAGGAGAGACCTGAGTACTCGCAGGAGGAGTGCTCACCTTTGGACAGGGAGCTGAGTCACCGGGGGAGCAGGACCAGCCATTACCCCGACAAAGATAAAAGGCTACTGGACCCCGCCCCAGGTTGTGGGAGCAACATTGCTGCTTTTTGGAACTTGCCTAAGACCCTGTGCCTGACCTAGCCTGATTTCCTGCCTTGGCCCTGTTGGGCTGACTTCTCACCCAATCCTTGGATAATAAATAATAATAATAATAATAATAATAATAATAATAATAATAATAATAATAATTTATACCCCGCCGATCTGGCTGAGTTTCCCCAGCCACTCTGGGCGGCTCCCAATCAAATGTTAAAAACAGTACAGCATTAAATATTCAAAACTTCCCTGAACAGGGCTGCCTTCAGATGTCTTTTAAAGATAGGATAGCTGCTTATTTCCTTGACATCTGAAGGGAGGGTGTTCCACAGGGAGGGCGCCACTACCAAGAAGGCCCTCTGTCTGGTTCCCTGTAACCTCACTTCTCACAATGAGGGAACTGCCAGAAGGCCCTCGGTGCTGGATTCGGGACCGGACCTGGACTGCGTAGCTCGGGTTAACCCCTGGGCCCAGCACACCTGGAGGAAGTGGATAATTTAGACCCAGTCTGATTTGAGGCTTATGCTTGGTACTGAAATGGATTTGGTCACCTTGATGACCTTTTTGGAAGAGGGGCAATTACCGGGGGCCTGGGAGTGGTGGGGGAATAATAATAATTTAATACAGTTCACATCAATGTTCTTTCCCACTGGGTTTATTGGGATTTTGGCCAAGGCCCAACCAAT